TGCTGACTGAGTTCTGGGAGGATGCGTTCAGCTGCAGCCTGACAGAAAGTGAGAAGGTTTTCTTTATTTAGCCAAAAATGTGAAAGAAAAATAAACATCTTTCATTATAAATCCAAATGAATCAATTCCTTTTTAGGTGTTCTTTTTGTATGAAACGGGTGTTCATATGCTTACAGATATAAAATGACACTGAAAACATTCTATAGCATCTCACCAAAGTAAAGGTTTTGTTAATCTACCATGTTCTCTTTCATAAAAACACTAGATCAGAATTTTTTATTCCATATATTTTATTTCATATATTTTATCTGGAACATATAAACCTTTTTTTTTTTTTTTAGATTTTTAGAGAAGCAGGAATTTGTAGTGGTGACAATTTACAAGAAGCAATGTTGTTTTTATTCTTACACTTTTGTTTAGTTTTGAGTTCGTTGGAACGTGAAATACAATAGTCATGTATTTACATATGAATCTGTAATGGGATTTAACTTTTTACTATTTCATTTTCTATTTCAACAATTACCAAGAAAGTGCTGCCCTCTTCATTTATCTCTTGTTTTTCTTCAGCTGCTGATCCAAACAAGAGAGGATGTGATGGAACTGAAGATCTTAAAGCCCTTAAGAACCCGTACACTGAAACGTCTCAGTTAAGAGTTTCTAACATGATGTACAAGGCTGTTTATGCAATAGCTCATGCTATTCACAATGCAGTGTGTCAAGAAAAAAATACAACTATTCAATGTGACAAACACATTGGACTGGAGCCCAAACAGGTCAGACTTCAGAATTTCATCAAGCCATTAGACTGTAAATTTAATTTAATTGATAAATTATTTTCCCTTGATGTCTTTTTTTCATTTGAAGGTTTTTACTGAATTACAAAAAGTAAACTTTTCCCAAAATGGCTACCATGTTTCCTTTGATGCTAATGGAGACCCTGCGGCTTTTTATGAGCTGGTAAACTGGCAGGAAAGTGAGAGTGGAGTTATTGAACTGGTAACAGTGGGATATTATGATGCATCACTGCCAAAAGGCCAGGAGTTTCGTATCAACAGGAAAATAGCCTGGGTGGAAGGAGGCACACGAGTAAGGAAGGAACAACAAAGGAGCAAATTAACTTTTGTCAAAACTTTTTTTAAAATATTATTTCCTATTTATCTATTTCTGTCTCAGGTTCCAGTCTCCGTTTGCTCAGAGAGTTGTCTTCCAGGAACTCGTAAAGTGTTGCAGAAAGGAAAACCAATCTGCTGCTATGACTGTATACCATGTCCTGAAGGAGAGATCAGTAATATGACAGGTGAAGTCAAATAAATGTCAATATAATTACATTCTTGAATGTCCTTTATTTGTATTGTTTTTTCAGATTCTCCTGACTGCTTCCCTTGTCCCAGAGAGTTCTGGCCAAATTCAAACAGAGATGCTTGTTTCCACAAAC